CCCCCAGAGGCTCTCCAGAGGCACCCAAGACGCCCCAAGAGGCCTCGTCGAGGAGGCAAAGATCACTGATGCCACCAGAGCTTTGGCCACAGTATGGCCTCCTGGGGGGGGGGGACCCTCATGTACTACGGCCCTTCCCTTGATCGATCTCCGCCAGGATGACCCCAAGGGCCCCCGAGGCCTCGAGGGCTGCGAGGGTCGTCGTCGTCGTCGTCGTCGTCGTCGTCGTCGTCGTCGTCGTCGTCGTCGTCGTCGTCGTCGTCGTCGCCTGGAGCGCTGTGAGGGAGCCGCGAGCCCGCCGCGCGGTCCCTCGGCCTGCGCTTTCTGCGGCCACGCGCGCAGGGAGTGGCCGCAGACTGGGGGCGCCTTCGGCATTCGTCCTGGCGGGCCTCGTCAGAGCCTCTGCTTCCTTGGCGTTGGCGTCCTCCTCCGCCTCCTCCTCCTCCTCCTCCTCCTCCTCCTCCTCCTCCTCGTCTTCTTGACCGTCTCCTCCGGGCCTCGTCAGAGCGTCCTGCGGCATCTCCTCCTGCCGCCTCGTCCTCGTCCTCCTGCCTCGTCTTCCTCCGCCCCGCGCTTCTCGGGCAAGACGCCAGGCAAGAGCGACCTTCGGTGCGCGGCCTTCGGGGGCCGCCACGGGCCCAAATCCAAGCGCGCGGACCAGTGCTGGGGCACTTTCACAGAAGGCCCAGCTCACCACAGGCCCATCTTGCGAACGGCGCCTCGGGGGGCCGTGCAGGTCCCTCGGGCGAAAGGCCCTTCGCACTCGTGGCGGCCGCCGGCGCACGCGCTCCCGTGCAGCAGGAGGCTGCGCCGGCCGGGCTCGCGCGGGAGCAGGTCCCCGGAGGTCGTCGGGCGGGACGCAGCGGAGGGGGGCCTCGACCCCAGAGAGCAGTGCTCTTCGATGCGTCTCGCATCCCACTCAACTCTTCCTCCTCCTCCTCCTCCTCCTCCTCCCTCCTCCGCCTCCTCCCTCCTCTCCCCTCCTCCTCTCCTCCTCCTCCTCCTCCTCCTCCTCCCCCTCCTCCATTTCCTCCTCCTCCTCCTCCTCCTCCTCCTCAGACCCTGGAAAGACGAGGCAGGAGGGGGCGATCTGAGCGAGGCCCCATAGGATGGACCCCAAGGAGCCCCGAAGGGCCCGATGGCACCAGGATGGTCCAAGACGGCCTGGAAGTAGCCCACAAAGCCCCCAAAATGAGGATCGAATTCACGACCTTCGGATTCTGTGACGTACACGCTGCCAGCTGCAGCTGTCGCCGCTTTGCACCAAGATGGATAGCTGCGGTATCGCCCAAAAGGCCTCAAGACAACTCCAAGATGGTCGCCGCCAAGATGGTCCCAAAATGGCTTCAAATTGGCTTAGCAGAGGGGGCAGCGGCGACAGGCGCAGCACTTCAGATGCGTTACCAGAAAAAATATGTCCCACCGTGTTCCAGAATGTCGCACACCCCAGAGATCAGTGCTCTTCGATGCTTCTTGCATCCCATTCAACTCCTCCACCTCCTCCACCTCCTCCTCCTCCTCCTCCTCCTCTTCCTCCTCCTCATCATCATCATCATCATCATCACCACCATCATCATCATCACCACCACCACCATCATCAGCATCATCAGCATCATCATCATCATCATCATCATCATCATCATCATCAGCAGCAGATCATCATCATCATCATCATCATCATCATCATCATCACCACCACCACCATCATCAGCATCATCATCATCATCAGCAGCATCATCATCATCATCAGCATCATCATCATCATCATCATCATCATCATCATCATCATCATCATCATCAGCATCATCATCATCATCATCATCATCATCAGCATCATCATCATCACATCAGCATCAGCATCATCATCAGCATTATCATCATCAGCAGCAGCATCAGCATCCATCAGCATCATCATCATCATCATCATCATCATGCATCAACATCATCTCATCAGCGTCATCATCAATCTCATCAAGCATCATCATCATCATGATCATCGTCATCATCATCATCATCATCATCATCATCTACACATCTACAACTCCTACATCCTCCTACAATTCCCCTACACCTCCTCCTCCTCCTCCTTCTCTCTCCTCCTCCTCCTCCTCCTCCTCCTCCTATTCCTCATCCGCCTCCTCCTCCTCCTCCTCCTCCTCCTCCTCCTCCTCCTCCTCCTCCTCCTTCGCATCAGCAAGAGCAGTAGGCTTGCTAGGACTGGCTCCCGCGCCGTCTGCATTGGCCGTCGTTTGGGGTTGTGTACCTCGGAGGGGCCAACTGGCCTGTGCCCCAATGGGGAACGCAGGCACCAGGTTTTGAATTCTCGATTTCCGTTAGGGTTGAAGCTACCCTTTACCAGAATCCAAGGCAAGGTAGGCTAGAGTGGGCTGAGTGTTGCGGATTCCTCGGGCTCGCCTCATCTCGTCTCCTGTTACTCCACCCCGCCGCCTACTCGTGCCTTCCAGCAGGCGACCAAGCGCCCTCTCGCAGGACGGGGGAGCGCTGCGCTGGGATGAATTCGAGGGGGGCGCGTCCTCGTCGAGCGCCGCCATCCCCACTGCCCCGGCGCCCTCACACGGCTGGCTCAGAGACGCCAGGCACTGGCAGCGCGCTTCCCGGGCTTCCCCGTCCTTCTTGCACTGCCTTGCCTTCCTGTTCGCTCTCGGGGCGCACAGCTCTCTACGAAAGAACACTCACTCTGCGCGGCGTCGTAAGACTCTTCGTATAGCGCTGTGCTGTAAGAGTGGACTCGTCCGTCGCAGGCATTCCGAACGGCACAGACCTCGAATCGAATGCAGGACTCAAGCATCAGGGGAAGCAGAAGCGCGAGGAGAAGACGAAAGGGAAGGAGGAGAAAGAGGAGAAGGACGACGACAGCGACGTCGCCCCTGGGCACACTCTGCATCTCTTCTTCCTCCTCCCTCTCCTCCTGCGGGAGGCGCATATGGACGGAGACAAAAATGAGGGCAAGGGCGGGCCAATCGACCGAGTCATTTCGACCAGAGAGACCACGTAGCCTGAGAGAGGAATCGAACAATCCCATCGTGAACGACCCCTTATCACCTCCGACGTCACGATCTGCTCTTCGGCGCGGGCCCACAGAGAACATCGCCCGTCTGCCCGAGGGCCAGCCCTGCATCCCGCGCCGTTCTGCGACGGCCCCCGGGGCCCGAGGCAGTCCGCCCGGGGCCCCGAAGAAACGACGCTGCGCGTGCCGCCCCGAGCTGCCCCGAGCTGCGGCGGATGCCTGGGAGAACTCCGCTCGGGGATGGACAGAACCCCCTGCAGCAAAACGTGGTTTCGCGAAACCGACCCCGGGCCCAAACCTGGCGGGCGTGAGCCTGGAAACTGACGGCCGCGGCGCCCTCCCAAGAGCCGAAAACGGACCATGCACTAATCGACGTGTCCCGGTGGGGGTTCTGGCGGCGCCCTCCTGAGAACCGAAAACGGACCATGCACTAATCGACGTGTCCCGGTGGGGGTCCTGCCCGCCCCCGATCCGCCCCAAGCGCGGCTCCCCGACCTCTCCCGGGGGGCCCCTCCCGGCCAGCTTGGCGCGCTGCGCCCGGCCGTGGCGACGAATGCCTCCAGACACGCCCGCCGACCTGCGGAGCGACGGCGCCGGCGTCGTCGGCGTCGTCCCTTCCCGTCGGCATTCCCCTGGGCGAGCCGGGACCCAGCAAAGCCCCTGCCTAAGCCTCCATCCTTTCGGGGGAACTTGGGCGCGAGCGATGCGCGCAGGGGCGGCCGTCGAACCCGCCTAAGCGATCGACGGCGGCAACTCCTCCCTCGAGCAAACCCCCTGGGCAGTGCTCGGGAGAGGTGGAGAGGCTCTCGGTTCCCCGTCCTCAAAGCCAAGCCTCGACGCCGTCGCGCGCCGCGCAGAGCAGTGCGGTCTGCCCTCCCTCCAAAGCAGCTGTCCCGTGGGCCTCTCCTGAGATGCGCTCTGGCCAGCATCTCGAGGGGCGGCCCAGCCGCGGCGACGCGCGCGCCCGAGGAGTGGCAAAAAAAACACCCAGCATCGGGCGCACGCCAACATGGACTGATCCGCGGTTGGGCGTGAAGTCATGGAGGGGCGATAAATGAGGGGGAGAAGAAGGGGTCACTTTGGGGGCATTTCTGGCCTCCCCCCCAGGTAGGAGAAGGAACAACTGCACAAACAGAAATGTTTGGCGCTCCGCGCGGATTTCTTGGATCTGCGCTGGATCCCCCTCCCCGGCGCGCGGAGCGCGCCAGGGCCAGCGCCGGAGGCGCCGCCCGGGGGGCCCAGCGCGGATCCAAGAGAACCGCGCGGAGCGCCAAAAGTTTCTGTCTGTGCCGTGTTTTCTTCTTCGATCAGGGGCCCTAAAGGGCCCTTTGCCTGCAGCCCTCGCTGCCTCCCCACTCGTCGCCCCCCATTGCGCGAGGCCCAACGTGGATCTGGCGCGCGGGCGCCGGGGAACGCATCCCCCGACACGCGGCGCCAATGCCGCTCGACTCGGCGACGGCGCTCGCCGATCTTCTGCTCGGAGGCATGGAGCCCGTCGCCAATCCGCGCGCCGTTCGTCCCGGCTTGCGCCGGCTCGGCGAAGGCGCCGCACGAAAGCCGTGCTCCTAGACGAGACCCAAGGGGCCCTCCCGAAGACGGCGCCGGGATCGGGACCGTGGACGCCCGAGGTGGGTGCGGAAAGAATGGGTACAATGTCCAACAACAGGTGTTGCGCAAGACCGACAGCCGCCGCTGTTGGGCGGGTGGTCTTCAGTGAAGAACGTCCGCGGCGGCACGGACAGCGAGGCCTGCTCAAAGTGAACAGGAACTGCTGATGGGCATCGTACCCAGTTCTTTCTGTACCCACTTCGACTTCGATCGCCCCGAGGGACAACATCATGGAAGACACCGACGGAGCTGCTCGGGGAATGAGCACATGCACACACACAAACGCAAGTCGGGCGCAAACGCCCGCTGTGAAGACATCGCAACGCCGAGATCTCAGGGTCCAGGCCCCGCACGGCTCCCCCGC